CGAACAGGGATGTGTGGCCATGATGGCAACACACGATAGAAAACAGGATTGTTATTGAATAACTCTTTTTAAATATTAGAGCTACCTTCTAGTACCTCTCTGAAGGCGAGGATTATGCTGAATCACCTTCCATGAGTTACTTAGTAACTGGTATTCTTCCCTTGGTAGTAACTGTGACTAAGCTAACTTTCAGGACTGTGAAATTATGAAATAAATTATTACTCTGTTAAAAAGAGTAGCTCGTTGTAACATCTCACATCTCACCCTGAAGGCCGACTGAAAAGACAAGCACCTCAGTGCTCTGCATTTGACTGGTACAGCTCTAATGCAATGCTACGTTACAATCAAAATAAGTTGAAATTACATTACTGTGTTGTCTTAAATTTTGTAGTGTAGCTGATTTGTTCTTGAGCTCCTGTGTAGGGTGGTCTTGTGAAGCAGTTTCCATGTTCTCATTAAATTTCACAACACTAAAATTCTCCATTTAATTTCTGTTTATTTGTGTAACTGTGACCTGGAGTGATGCAGTAAATAGAGGTAGAAAACCAACCATGTCAAAATGTATGTTTTGCATTGTAGAGGAGCAAATGTAATATTGGAAGCAGTGCTGTCATTGACAGCTCCATGATCCAAAACATTTAATAGAAGGTAACTATTTGCAAAGCAACTCTTACTGTCTTGTTTCTCCCAAGACATTTTGGTCTTGTATAGAAAAACTATAAAGCTTTAAGTGTAAGAAGCTCATTTATGTAGAAGGAGTCCAACTAGTTCTTAGTCATGTCTTCACTCTTCTTTACCTTAAAATCCTACTAAGTGGACAGGAAATGCAGTGTTTTAGCTCATAAAGGTAACGGGCTGGAAGTGAGCGTTGGGAGACAGGCTTCCTACCTTTGTCTGGAATACTTTTAGACTTTTTCTGCTATCTCCTAGAATTATGAGGCTATGAACATAATCATACAATAAACGTACAATTTTGCGTGAAGTTAAAGTATCTGCTGTTTCTCTGGGAGATAACTGAGGCCTTCTTACCATAACTAAATATGACTCAAGATTTTTCTGGTTCTGGAGAAGACACATTTTAGTCTGAAACTTTTCAGCTCCAGCATCAGACTTAGTTTCTGATTTAACTCCAATGTGGTATCTACATAGGGCTTAACAACTGTGGGTTTTAAAGCCCTTTCTCCAAAGAAGTAGGGCACCACAGTAGTAGCTTGAAGCCAAAGCAGCATATTATTCACAGAGACAGACGCGTGGGAGGACAAGCACAGAAGGGCTGTGACAAGTACAAACCAGCAGCTCTGGCTTGTCAGTCCTGGAAGTGTTCAAGTACTGAACTATTCTTGTGAAGGAGAGCAGGCAGCTAGTGCCAGATCAGAGCAATGACAAATGAAACAAGATGCTTTCCGTGCCTCACTGATGGATTGGAGCACTCCCTGATGGTTGTGGAATCCATCTGCTCCAGTGTCAAGCATCAGTAAAAGTCCTCATTAGAAATTCCATCAGAAGCTTAGACCTCCAGCCAGCACAGTGCAGTGTGCCTGGTTTAGGACTTGGGATTTTCATTGATCAAGGTGCTATTTCTATATTAGGACGCTACCTCAATGATTTCCCATCTGCTTAATTCCAGCTTTTTCAATTTGTAAATAGATTGTGTACTACATCATCATTTATCTTAGTCTTATACTTACCTGCAAAATTTGGATAAACTTTGGTGTACCAGAAAGGGATATTAGCTGAAACCAAGCTCATACAGTGCATTACAAATAAGGAATAGTGAAACTGGAAACATCTCAATATTAATTCCTTTTAAGATTAAAAAGATTTAAGTCAGCTCAGCTGATATGTTAAAAAAAAAAAAAACTTTGTAAAAAAGTCAGAATACTAGTAGGAATTATAATAATTACTATGCCCACTTTTTACTTGTGACAGCATAAAGGTACTTCAAGAGTCTTAGTCGTAGGTGTAAATATGTATGTGGAACTTATCACAGTTCTGCATCTGTTCTCAGATTTTGAATATATTTCAGATTTGTAATGTAGTGCTACTAACTGAAGAAACTTTTTAAAAAAGATTTTAAAATACTGAATTTTGGTAACTTCTTGGTCTCAAAAATCCAGCTTCTTTTTTGTTGGTTACAGGGAGCAGCGTGGTACCATAGATGTACTATATTTTTTCAGTTTAACACCTACGGGCTGGAATAAAAGTGTATATGCAAGTCATGATGCTGCAATACAGTGTGATACAGCCTTGGATACTTCTACCCAGGAGTACAAAGTTCAGTTCAGGGAGGCCAATCTCATTAGCATTTCCCATGCTCATTTCAAAATACTGATTTTTGCTGAGGTTGCTCTAGTATAATTGTAATGACTTACTGTCAGTCTCTTTTCTATTTTGTGAGCTAACAAATGCACCTTTCACAACTATGATACACACAGAGCAGTTTTGTGATCCCTCTCATCTGGCTCTTCAGTTACAGCTTAAAGCAAAAGGGAAATTGAAGAAGACTGTTGTCTCCTAAGCAATTCCTGAGAGCATAGCAAGTATTGAAGTTTTGTTAAGCTGTCAGTTTAAATATTTAGCTGCACTAGAAATACAAGTTTTTCTAAGCCAATAATCTTCTGCTCAAAATTTATGGAAATGCCTCATGTGACAGCTGAATTACTATATTTTCCATCTTTTAATTTGTCTGAGGAGTCCAGAATTAAACAAGATTTACTTTCAGTTTGATTCAGGGCAATATCGGGTGTCAGTACTGTTGTCAGTAACCTTTTAATGCCTTTTTTGGTTATACAGATGAAACTTGTTTCTGCAACTCCTGGAAAAATTGTTTGTGAAATGAAAGTAGAGGAGGAGCATGCAAACAGAGGTGGCACTTTACATGGAGGTTTGACAGCCACACTGGTGGATGTGGTGTCAACAGCAGCATTGCTGTACACAGAAAGAGCACTGTCTGGGGTCAGTGTGGACATGAACATCACGTAGGTATCATCCACCATGTTTACCAGAACATACTAACTTCTCTTCCCCTGACACAGTATTGACTGCATTGTACATAATTTCTATGGTGTTGGAGTCACTTTAAAAGGGTGTTTTCATGGGTTTCAGAAGTCTTGTTTTGATAAATTAAGGGGGGTTGTATTGGGGGATATTGCCATTTGTTTGCAAGATTTGATTTGGACATTCTTAAGCTTTTATTTGTTACACGCATATAAGAGCAGTACCCATTCATTCACAGAATGTAAAGGAATGTTGATACATGGTAAATTTTAGTCTTATGAAATTGGCTCAAATTACATCTTTGCTTGTGAAGATATGCTAGAGTGCATCCTCAAACACCAGAATCTAGGGTAGGCAGCTTTCTGTACACCCTTTTTTAGTATTAGTCCATAAAATGTTAAAACAGGAAAAAATATTAAAACAGATAACAGTTTAGCTCTGTTGTATGCTCACATAGAGGGTGAATTACAGATTGAATCAGAATTTCTTGCTGGAGGACACTTCCTTTGCTCTAGGTCATTTGAAGGTAGTTTTATATTGAGACTAGTTCTTCCTGTAATGCATATTTAAAGCACAGTGTCTTTAAAAAAAATTTTAAAAAGATGGTCTGCAACCTTTGATCATGCTATTATAGCTTGTCAGCTTTGCTTCATTACTTTTAATGAAGAGATTATGACTGATTGGAGCTAAAGTAATCCTACTTGAAATAACTAACACAGAGCATTAAAAATCTTGGAAAAGTAACCCCTCATCAAAATTGTCTTAAAAAAAAAAAAGCTTTAAAAATGTGTGGGGAGTGATCTGTATCTTTATTGGGTTCCCTCCTTTCCACCCCAGCACCCTCTGATTTCTCCACTGGGCGGGTGAGACTGGAGCTCATCTGTTTAAGCTTTATACTACCTTTATACTATACATTTATACACTGCAATAAGCAGGAAATGACTGAAAATAAAAACCTGAAATTCTCCTATGATTGTTTTTTTTCCGTACAGTAGTATAACAAGAGTCCAACATCTGAATTATTTACACTATCAAGTATGCCTACCCACTTACGTAAGGGCTAAAATCTTAAAGTGCTCTTGCTGAAGGTGATCCAAAGTGATTTAACAGCATAACCTTTAGGAAATGTTGTCTGAAGAAATATTAATAGCTCTGTTTAATCCAAACTACTGCTTTCATTGAACAAGTGATACTGGATACTGAATATTGCTATGATGCCACTTTTTCCTTTTTGGAAAAGACATTTTTAAAGGGTTGTCACGAGGAAGCTATTTCAGTAATGGAAAGAACAGAGAGAAACAGAAACTTTTTAATCACAAGAGGGTCAGCAGCAGCCTCTGAGAACAAAAGAAGACTGAAACCCTGCCCCCTGTCAACTAATGGGTTTTGTGCTACATCAGCATTATGCATGACTGTCATACTTTTGACATGGTGTCATGTATAAAAAAGGACTGGTTGATGAAATTTATCTCTATAAGATTTATATCCAGCAATTATACATTCTCCTCTAACTCAGTAACATTTGAATATTGTTGCCTTACCTCAGGTCATGGTTGGATCACATTCCTCCTAATTCTTTCCAGGTGTTTTGTGGGGGAATTTCTTCCTGTTCCCTGCAGAGTGGTTTTTTGTAAAGCACACCCTCCTACTCACGTAAATAAAAACAGACAGTTACTCTGCTCTCATGAGACCCCCACCTGGAACACTGTGTTCAGATGTGGGGCCCCCAACATAAAGAAGACCTGGACCTGTTGGAGAGAGTCCAGAGGAGAGCCATGAAATTGGTCAGAGGGCTGGAGCACCTCCCCTATGAGGACAGGCTGAGAGAATTGGGGTTGTTCAGCCTGGAGAAGAGAAGGCTCCGAGGGGACTTAATAGCAGCCTTCCAGTACCTGAAGGGGGCCTACAGGAGAGATGGGGAGGCACTCTTTATCAGGGAGTGTAGTGAGAGGACAAGGGGTAATGGGTGTAAGCTGAAAGAGGGTAGATTTAGATTAGATATTAGGAAATTTTTCACTGTGAGGGTGGTGAGACACTGGAACAGGTTGCCCAGGGAAGCTGTGGATGCCCCATCCCTGGAGGTGTTCAAGGGCAGGCTGGATGAGGCTTTGAGCAACTTGGTCTAGTGGAGGGTGTCCCTGCCTGTGGCAGGGGGGTTGGAACTTGATGATCTTTAAGGTCCTTTCCAACCCAAACCATTCTATGATTCTAATGAATGGAAATAGCATTAAACCTGGGAAGTTTGAAGGCCTTCCAGATTTCCATGACTTTTCTCTGATCGGGGTATGGGAAATTAACCTATGCTTAGGTTCCATAAAGAAATGACCTTCTGGAGCCTTTGTAACAGAGACACTTTGCAGCTGAACCAGCCAGACTGGTTTAGAAAGGCTGTAAGGAGCCAGCAGTGGCTGGAACAGCACTTGGAGCTGAACTTTTAACTGAGATCTTTGATACCCAATTGTTTCTCTTCCAAAATGGAACAGAACTTGGTTCTTCAGAACCAAGCCAGTGGGTTTCTTTGGATCCTCCATTTTATCAGAGAATTCTCACACTGAATTACCATTGGAGTACTTAGGGGAACTCAAAGACTTTTAAGAAGTGGGAATTTGCAAGCAGGCAGTTAGAGAAAGATGTGTTGTTATTACTCAATTTTGCTAATGTCTTTCACAAAAATCTAAAATGCAGGGATATTCTTGGATTCGTGCTCTGTACAGCCTCTTACTGTTCCTTTTGTTCTTCATTGAAGATACACTGCTGCTGCTAAGATTGGAGAAGAAATACTGATTACAGCTGAGATTTTGAAGCAAGGAAGAAATATGGCATTTGCCAGCGTGGATTTAACAAATAAGGCAACAGGAAAGTTAATTGCACAAGGCAGACATACAAAGTATATAGGAAAGGATCTTGCTTTTTTTGGTCAAGATAGCAGAAGGAAGGAGCCTTTGGACTAGCCATATGGTTTACCAGCATGACAGTGTTTTAAGAGATCTGTTTTCTTTGCCTGTGGTGTCATCATGTGACAAAGCAACCCTGCCTTCAGGCCCACCGCAGTCACATTCAAATAACACTATATATGCTTACAACCTTAACTACTTGTTCTGTAAGATGGTAGTACAGAGTTCCTATAACATAGTATGAAACTGGTTCAAAAGTGTAAAACAGGCTAATACAGAATGTAATTTACTGATGCTGTAAGAAATTAAAAAGTATTCAATAAAGACTTCTGAAACTACCTTTTCAAAGATTACTTAATAGTTTTGTAGTCTCTTTGCACTGAGTAAAATCTTGCAAGAATGGGGTGATTGAGAGAGGGTGTGGTAGAACACTTGTACACAAATTCACATAAGGTTTTATCATCATCGCCCTGTGATTCCCAAATGTGAAAATGCAGTTACATCATCAGGGCTTTTCACCTCTACCTACCTGAAGTTCTGGCTATATTTGCTTAAAAGTCATGAGCTGAGAGTTAGAGATGTATCAAAATAAATTTGGTGAGCCCTTCATCAGGCTAGAGTTGAATGTGGTAGAATAAAGCTGCTACTCATCAGATGAAGACTTGTCTCCTCATGTTCTGTTGTGGACAGGTTTAACTGCTTTCTTCAAACTGATGACAAACGATCCTTGGCAAGGCTATCCCACTAATAAAAACAGCAATGCTACACATGCAGCACAAAAGTTTTCATAAACCATGACCTAGTGGAAGATTTGAAAAAGCCAATTTAAACTGGTAAAGGGCATGCATAATTCTTTTTGTCATGGAAGTTGACTCATTGTCTTTAGTGATTTGAATTTTGTGATTAAATGTGCAGGTAGGGCTTCTTTATGCACTCCTAAAACTACAGAAATAATTTCCAGTGAGTTGAGAGACCTGTTCATGCAGACCGATTTCCAATGGGAAGTTGAACAAGTTTACTAATACATCAGAAATCTTTCCAAAATGACTTTCAAACAAGTGATACAGTTGATAATTTACCCTTCTATAAAAAAATTCCTACAGTCTCAGGCTATCAGCATGTCTTGTTGCTGCAAGTTTAGAACAGTTGTTCATGGTATATACATTCTCAACAAAAGCTTTTTCTCTGAGGTCTCAGAAATGTGCATGGCTTACATGCCTGTGGCTAGTTGAACTCTTAAGTTGCAACTTCAGCAGTAGATTTGTAATAATCTTTCCCCTCGGTACTTGCACTCACGCTCAGAACCATCCCTGAATCCCATTTATAGGAATGCAATGCTTTCCTAAAGCAGTTCTGAGAAGATACTTAACTACAGGTGCAAATTTGGTTTTCTTTTTTTTTTTTTTAATCTTTGCTCACCAGAACTATATGCTTCACTGGATCGAGTTGTTTCTTACTTTACAGCTTCCTCTGCCTGAAGATGAATTGTGAGTCTTAAGCACCTCCAGCTCCTCTACAATTATTAGGATGAGCAGAGAGGATTCATCACAGCGTGTAGACACACCTAGTGGGGTAGCAATTGCTGTTCTGGTCATCTTCCTGGTCACATGTTCTGGCATGTCCAGTCATCCTTTTTCTCATTGTTAAGTCTACCAATGTTCTTCTGTAGGTTACCCACATAGTAGAGTGCAAGAGATGAAGGAAATATAAGAGAGGATTTAAACTGCTCCTCCAGCTACTATAAACCCACTCCCCTCACTGGAACACAAGAATGATTTTTACTATTACCTGAAATAAAATGCAAAAGGGTGAGAATGAAGGAAGTATCGGATTCAAAAAGTGCCAAAGGATTCAGAACGCCCTCAGCACTGTGTGCTGGGGCAACTCTGTCCTTGTGTAACTGTCCCAGTGCAACTTAACATGACTTCCCTCAAAGCTGGCTGCCTCAGGAATCTGACATGGTTAAGTGGTCTCATTCTATCACTTGGCATTCATCATACCTGCATAGTTACTACTGAAAAGTGTCCAGGCGAATCTCAACACAGTAACAACAGTATCCTCCTGTTCCCATTTGAGCCTGGCAAGGACTGTTGCAGGCTGAGGGGGAAACAGAAAAAAACCCTCCTTCCTCAAGTAACAAGTGAGTTCTCCCTTATAATAAGACTATTCACCACAGTATTTTAGTGCTGCCTAATTAATAAGAGGGACATTACTAATATGCAGGCCAGTTATTTTAGCAGTGGTTCATTAAACTGATTATTTTAAGATAACCTTGTCTGTTATCCCTCAACCAGCAGCAGCATGTTGACCTCATAAATTTATTTCACAATTTAACTTAGTCTTGGAGATTATCTTCGAACAAATTGTCACCAGTGACCTTGCTTAGCTTTGGGAATAAACTGTCAAACACCAGACTTAATATTTGGAAGTATTCTTTACTGATTTCACCCTAACCTACATGTTGAAAAATCTGTATCTCCCCTTAGCTGAGTCTCAAAGTAATGGAAAAATACAACTGTAATAAGTACAAATGGTACATGGTTCCACCTGGCATCAGAACAGACAGATCTCCTGTGGGGCTGACCTGGTTCCATCACTACAGATTTAGGCATAATTCCCTTACAAGCAAGCAAATACAGTGACTTGATGAGATCATTTTGTGAATCTTATTAGTATGCCAGATTACATATCCAGTAACTGGCAAACATCTGTAAACTCTGTTATCTTACAGCTGCAAATGAGACTGTCTCTCCAGTATTGTGCTGGGTTGGGGTTTTCTTTCCCCCCCTCATCTTTTTCTTTCAAACATACCAAACACGTACACCATAGACCTTGATGTCTAGAAGTCCATCCTTACAGAGGGCCGTACTTTTCACATAGTGATATGTGATACGTTGTGGAACAGTTTGTCTCTATCAGTGAAAGTAACTGCAGCTTTCCACTTCATGCAATATATTGGTCAGCCAAGTGTTTCATGCTGGTTTCGTATCACTGCTATTGCACAAATGCATTCAGACTGATACCAGGTGTTTTGGACCATGGTGGAACTGTGCATTACAGATCCCTTGAGAAAAAGAGGAATCAAACAACAGTGGGAATGATTCTGTTCTAAAACCAAGAGTCTAAATACTTACCAGGGCAAATATGATCACAGACTAAGGTGCTGTGAGGAGGGATTTAGCCATTAAGGATTCCAGCTCTCAGGAAGAAGCAATCTGTCAGTGACAAACCAGTGTAAGGAACGGCTGAAACAGGAGTTAAACTACCAGGACTCCTTGTTCATCTTTCAGGTTGAGGCACCTGCAATCTCATGGCTGAGCTGCTTCACCTAAGTTACTCTGCCAATTTAATTATGAGCTAGTTGGCTTGCAATTCTCAGATCAGCAAGCATTACCAGCCGAAAGGGGGGCAGGGCGGGGAGAATTAGGCTGTTAAATAACCATTCTGAACAGCAGTTCAATTCTGTTCAGCTTCATTAACTGGCTCCAAGCCACTGCCAGGGCATACAGAAGAATTTCCAACTGCATTTCATCACTAACCATTTTAGAATTCTCTATCTGCAGAAACCATTTGCTAGTAGAAGGAAATCCCAACACCTCTGCCTTATCTCACTGTCCATAGGAACAAAGGGAAAAGCACTTTGATTCCTATTTTGCAGCTTTAAGGAAGGGTTCAGCGACAACACAATGACAGTTGTTACCTTTGTGATTCTGTAATGCATTCACTGAGTGACTGCTGTTACCAGATCCCCTGGCCCCAAGCTGCCGTAGGTGTGGGACACTGCAGCAGATACAGCTCTCGCCTGAACCAGAGCAAGTTACCTGCAACCTCTAATAAAACAAGATGCATTGGCTCTCCTCCATTAAAAAAAAAAAAAAATGAACACTACTTTTGGTCATCAAAACAGTACCTGGTGCTGTACCACTGCAGGCAGATTCTGAATCTTTGATTTCTTTTGCTTAAAAGCAGTAGTTGCTCGAATGGTTTTTTGAGAGTCCAGAAAAGCAGCCTGTAGAGTAGGTAGCTCTAGCATACAGTAATTGTGCTCAAATTAAGAGACTTTTCCATATGTAAATCCTTTCCAAGCAGAACTAGGTCACATATCTTCAGCTCTAAAAAGCATTTCAGTCAGCCATGCAAAAGAGAAATTATGCTTATCACTTAGCTTGCTTCAGTTAACCTGTAGAGCCGATGCAGCCCTCCACAGCATCAGTGCTGTATGGTCAGCCTTGTCAACTCCCAGCTGTGGTGCACAAATCAGAAAGCAGTGCTACTACTGTACATGGAACTGCAGTTCCCTTTAGTATTCCTGACTGCAGAGAGTTCATCTGTACTCTAAGATGACAACCAAGAAGATTTAAACACGAAATACATAGTACACAGCCCCTGTGCACTACAGCAGAGTAAGAGCTACAGCAACTTCCAGTGCAGAAGCCATCTATGCCTGAACCTTCTAACTCAGTCATGCTGAACTCCTGCAGCACGTTAAGTAGCCTAGCAGGTACAGAAGACAACTACAAGCCTTCCTCTCATACCCCCAGTGTGGCATCAATGAGTACAGGTGCAAACAAAGGCCAAGCCTATACACAGAAGTGTCCTTTTGGTGTGCTGATGACATTAAGAGACAAATAATAACATTGGCCTTTTTATTTTGGAAATAAGGATTTGTATGTAAAGATTACTAAAGTGAAAAAGTAGATTTGTTCCACAAAAGGAATTCTAGAATAACCACCACTCAGGCTAGTACCATGCCTCAAACACACATGCTAAACTTTTTTTTCCTTTTGTAAAACACTATTAAAGCCCTTTATCTCACTACTTCATTCCAGAAAGCTATTCCAGAACCTGTAGGCTTACACAGGCTCTGAATTTGCTGCTGCAGCTTTTCCAGTCTAATAAAAGAAAACAGCAATTAAGTAAAACTCACACCACATGCCTATCTGCTTAGTGGATATGAATGTAGTCTAGTAATTCTTGACTTTTAACAACTATCATGCTAGTGGCAGGAACCTTAATGTAATCTTAAATTAATCCTGTAACAGTCCATTAGAATAATATCACCTTTAAGGATTAAAAAACCTTACGTGACCATTCTCACTGCTCAGCCCCCAGAGATCCAGATATAAGGAGATGGTGTTCATTTACTGCAAGTAACCTAATGACTCAGCACGTGACAATGGCAAGAAAATGCAGTATTATCCCAGCAGCAAAAGAGAAAAGGCCAGGGAAGGATGGCTGTAGAGCTCACAAGCTGAGAGTAGGTACAAGGAGCAGTATCAGCAACAGAGCAATTTTCAAACCAATACATTATGCATTAATGTGCCAACAAAAAGAGAGTCATTCACAAGGACCAGAGCACCTACCTGTAGTGAAGACTGATCCTCTGCTTCTTTTGTGTTTTGTAAATACAGATCAAGTAGTCCTTTCAGAGATGTAACTTTTTAAAAAGTCTAGAAAATTGGAACTGGGAGTTACCATCTTTCTATCAGCTTTGTTTCTAATAGGCTTAACATTTTGCTATGCAAAAAATCAACTTGTAGCAAGAGACGAGTGCCTCGATCTAAAGCTTTCAATGTTCAAATATTAGTTCTAGCTTGAATAACTGGTTTTTTTTAAATGCCAATGTGTTTTAGTACTTGACAAATCACTTAACACTGCAATTGTAGTGTAATGAAATAACTTTTGAGAAGCAATTTATGCTTTGAGACAAAGGGCATCAACTCCAAACTAGCTACAGGCCCACTACATTTGGGCAATGCTTGTACAAGCAGCTCTGTCCTTCTTACCATATTTTTGATAAGATTAGTGCAGCTGAAGAAGCTTGAAAAGCCAAGGGAAACTATACAGCCATGTACAGCCTATGACATTTTATTAATAAGTTTCACCTCAGCATCTGGGAAGCACCTGACGCAAGCCTCCCTTCATCAGACACTTCATTTAGATGCAAGAGATTTAATAGGCCTCTGTCTACTTCATTTTGCTGCCTCCACATTTATCCCTGCCCCATTTGCACTTGCCAAGTTCACATGACTAATCCACAAGCAATAGCCTGGCAAAACTCCTCTATTCAGGTGAGATACTGTTATTTCAATTCTTGCTATTAGCATATCCAAAGGAGCCACACAAGCAGTTGACAGCAGGTAGTAACCAAAATTCTTGTCTTATAAAAAGCCATTTTTGAATTTACAAGCAGCTCCACCAAACAAACTGATTAGGTTTACAGAGTCAGAGACTGTGCTTTGTAAACATTGTTTTTGTGATATAAAACATATATTTTGAAGTTAAGAAAGCTTACGAAAAAGCCCTTGAGCTGATATAAAGAGGACCTGAAACCAAAAGTGAAATACTGTGAACTGATTCCATTCACTTCTGAAGGGCATTTTGCTGAAAAATATAACGAGATTGAACTAGAACCTCCATTGAGAAAGCATGGGACAACTTCAAGTTTAATCTTTTTCCTCAAAAGTCATCCTGTTTAGGTGGAAAAAGAAACACCTTTCAAAGAAAGGTGAACAAACTCTCATACACTCCCCGAGATTCTCATACTCTGAAGCCTGTTGTTCCCCTCTTTCTTCCACAACTTACACAACACAGATGGCTATCAACTCAATCTGATAGCACAGCAAAAGCATAATACTTGGTAGCTGGGCAGAACAGACCACATTTAACACAGTGAGTATTACACAGCTTTGTTCTCCCAAGAAAGCCCAGCATTATTTAACTCTGGGATCACCGTCATGAAGAACAAATGAGTTGCCTATACATCTTATGCATCCCATATAAAACTAAAAACCCCACACTTCTCTGTAATACAGAGAAATAAAAGTTAAGGATCATACCATTGCTGACACTTAAAAAGCATTGTACACAGCCACTCAGGCCAACATCTTGAGGCTTAAGAGAAACCAGAATGAAGAAAAATTGAATTCCTAATGCAAGAACTACCAAGTCATTTGCTTTGCTAACCAAGGTAACTACAGCCATATTATCATTACTGTGAGATGGTGTCCAAAATGACAAACCAAGAAAACACAGGGATTGCACTTAGGAAACAAAATCCAAACTCATGGAACTTGAGCATTCAAGAGCCTACAAAACCCATTTTAAGCTTCATGTGGACACGTGGTATTATGCTTACAGGCCATTCAAAGAAGGGGCACAAATTTAGCTGGGGAGTTATAAGTACTATTAGCAGGTATGGTGGATACTAAATATTCTAGAAAGTCTTAGCCTTCCGTAGAGCAGCATTTTCAAGATATTTCTTTGTAACTTCAGGCATTCATAAATGTGAAGTTGCAGCTTTCAGGTGGTGTTTTTCTAGGCTGCTCCAGTTTAACTTGTAGGACCTTAAGACCAAAGAACTAAAAATATCCATGTACCAATAGCATAGTATGCCAATAATTCAATTATTTCTGACATCTACTTTTCAAAACAAACATACTGCCCACATATGTAAGAACACTTTTGCCACTAATCTTTGTTAATCTTAATACCATTTCACTGCCTGTTTTCAGTGTTTGCAATGGGTGAAACTGCAAAGATTTAAGACACTACTAAAATTCAATTCATAGTATTTCCATAAATAAAGCCAGTCATCTTTCACCTAATTTATTTAAATTCCAATTTTTTCCAATTCCAAACAAAAGCTAAATACAAGTCTTAAACAGGTAAGCACTAGTTTTATCCAAAGGGAGAAGGCTTATGCGGTTTTACTCCAGTAAAGTACTCAACCCTTAAGCAGAGCCTTCTGTGACCAAAACTATACAGTAGTCTTCCTTTTATCATTGCACAATCTTAAAATGTTCTGTCAGAACCAACTTTTGACACTCCAAACACTATATTACATTGTTTTATAATGTCTATTCCAAAAGAAAAAACCTCCATGGGTTTTCCATAAGAAATGTTTTAGAAACCAGTATTTCCTGCACAGTTCACCTGCAAGTTTACAAGTCTCAACTCTCAAGAAAAAAATAATCTTCTACCAACATTGTTTCTGCAGCTATTATTTTACTTTATTTTCAGCTGCTTTAGCAACTTCAGACTCCAGGTCTGCCTCATCTGTATAAATGCATCCAACTCAAAATAATACTTTCATACAGTTATACAGCAACTTGGGGAAAGAGATCCAAAACAGAAATGCCAGTAAACTTAGACATGGCCCAGCAAAATAAGAGAGGCAAAAATGCCTACACATTAAATGAGATGCTTTTTTTTTTAAAAGAGATTTCTTTCCCACATTTGCTTCCTATTGTAATAGCCACTTTCTGTTCATTGAAATGAATGATAGTGCTCTTTGATACAATCATTAACAGCAAAGCTATAAGGCTTTTATACCCGTTACATTCACTTCTCACCCTCCAAATACTGATGGTTAACATAGATGTTGGGGGGCATGACCAGCACAAATGGGAACACCACCACAAATGATCACCTTGTGCTTTCAGATACATTTCTTTCAGTGTACAGTCCCTTCATTTCACATTTTAGTAAGATGCTGATGCAGTGCAGAAACGCGCAGAGCATCCTCTCTTTCACAAGGTCCATGCAGAAAACATCTAAAAAAAATTGTAAAGTTCTGAGATACAAATGATTAAAAAAATCCAGGATGATTAAGTTTCACAATGTATAGTGTTCTGAACATGAGTCCATTTTCTTCTAAATTCTGAAAGAATAAAGTGGTGAAGAAAGTGAAAATCCACTGCTGCATTCTGTGATCTTCCCCATTTTGCTGGCCAGTACCTTACTCTGGCATGTAAGGACAGAGGTGATCCTCTATGGTACCAACCGTCCAGTGAGTGAGCTGCTCCTGTGGCAGGTACAGGCAGATGCTGCATAACTTGAAGATTGTAGCTTTGTTTTTTGGAGTCTAGAGGCAAAGAAAACCCAAGTAAAAGCTATGAAACATGAAGTTAACTCAAGACTAATAGGCAGAGCCCCAGAAAATCCCGCCCAGTTGTTAGCTTGCTGCTCATTATGGAGGAACAACATAAGACATTTTAAAGACATCATGCCATCCATATAAACAGCCTGAACTCTAAATCAGTCTGCAACCTCTAATGTCTAAAATATTTTCACTATTCTGCTCATTCTTCACTGGAATAATTTTGGTAACACCACCTAAATTAAGACAATGTTTCAACTTTTCCAAAAAACTGTTAAGTCTATTTTAGAACTTATTGAATTTTTAATACAAGAACATTACATTAATTCAATGTGAACGCATCTATGGCCTGCAGCTAGTTTTCACATGTGTGAATCCTATTTACAGCATAAGTTTCCTCTGAAACTGCTGAAATGCAAGCATCAATGCACGATCAATTTTTCTACTTGAGTATTTTGCAGTAAGGTCACTGATATTCCCAACAAGAAAAAGCATTTTATGATTAACACCCATTTGTTAAAAAGAGGAACAAAATAAGCTTACCTGCAAGTGCTGTCTGTCAATGAAGAGAAACACTGACTGGTTAGGGTTGTTGACAACAATTCCAGTCTTGTCCTTTCGGCTCAGAACATGCAGAAACTGTTTTTCATAGTCACTGTGATGAAATTCAAACTTGGCCTGCATTGTGTGAGGAAGAGGAATAAAATATTTATTAAGCTAAAGCTCACATTTAACCAATAAATTTCCTTCAATGTGGGGCTTTACAACCACTTTGTTTCTTTCCTCTTCTCATCTATGAAAAGCAGAAACTGGGGACCACAGTGATGACACACTTGAGTCTTGGCAGTTTAAAGAATTCCCTGGTTTCATTTTGCCAATGCAGACATTAGTCATTGCAATGATGTAGCAACAATTCAGAGGTACAGCTTTAACTACATCTGTAAAACCAGATTTCACTTGTTCTGTCAGAACAACCCTGGGCATCAACAATACAGCACATTTCTTCCAGTAACTATTATTGCAGAACCAGCACAGAAAACATATAATATTGTTCAAAAATCTGAACCTGAACAGCTAAAGCTGGCTGCTGAAAAAAATAGTCTTAAGATGTTGGAAATTTATTTCAAGGTAAAATTATAATGCAAAAATTCCATCCATCTCAGACCCTCTTCCATCTTACAAAATACAGCAACTTGGGATACTCACAGAACCTTAACAACACTATCATATTTAGACAAAGATTCAACTGTACTGAGAGACACATCTAATCTACTTCTACAAATACTAACATGATAGATGTATTTATACATACATGTCATTTGCAAAGGGTCCTTCAGACACTGAAATTTTGTAAGTTCTAATATAACAGTGCATAAAGATAGGAAGCAGAATTTGTCATTCAAAACATTGACTGCTTTATAAACAAGAACAGTCTACATACTTTCTAACATCCACAGTAGTCACACACCTTATTAAATTATTGCTTAAGATGAGAAAGTACTTATCCTGCTCTCCAGACGCAAGTTACTTAAGTTAAAAAACAAAAGCAAATACCTGAACAGGCCTAAAGGGTTCATCTGACCCCTTCCACCGAGAAAACAGAAGACAGACTATCTTCTCAATATCATTACGAGGCCAAAGAATGAAGTCCATCTCCTGGGTACAGCCAATAACATCCTGTAAGTAGTAAGGTTCTGTACTTACATTCCCTCCATTAGCCAAAGATAAGCAACTTATTTATAGAGGCACATAATTTAAAGGTGGTACTTATTAACATGTTTGTGTTATTTTCCATTTGTATTACTCATAGCACAACTAAAAATCTTCCTTACCTTCCACTGAGTTTTAATATCAGTATCCAGTTAATATAAATTTCAACTTTAAGAAAACATTAGAAAAGACTGCCTATCTTCCAATATTCATAAAACAAAGCCACTTAGTTGTACAAGAGTTGCTGAAAGAATTAACACATGCCTACCAAAGGACAAGAATGACAAGAAGATATAATTCCCAAGACATATTGGAATGAGACAGAAGTTAAAGCTTGAGTACTACGTATTTAAACAGAATTTCAGAATACATATGCTGCTGCCCCTTCAAACTAGACCCCATAAACAACGGCCCTCAGAACCCTTGTCCAGCAGAAGAGTTGAGAAAATAAAACCAGCAGGATACACCCTAACATTCACAAAGAAAACCACAAGTATTGAAAACAAACTAAAATTCAGCAAGTGTAAAGAGCTTACCCTGCGCATAGACTGGTAGCGGGGTGCATGAAGCTGTACTACATCCTTCTGCAGAAGCTCTAAGGAACTTTCCAAAGAATAGCTGGAATCCCGCACACCTTTCAGGATATTTTCTTCATAATTATTGGTCATGACTGGTATCACTTCAGACACTTCAAAAAGCGCTGACTTCTTCTTCTAAAAAAAAGCATATGTTACATTAAGATTACAATCATTTCCAGACAATTATAGATAACAGTTCATTTCAGAATTTGTGATTTTTTGTTAGCATTTATACATAAAGTACACATCACGTAAGTTAGGACCTTGACACAAACTACACTAAAATTTACATGCAGAATTTTATACATTAAACATAATCAATCAGTCCAAAAACTTTTTATAAAAAAAAGTTGAACATGTTTTTGTAGTCTCCAAAGATGTGGATTTACATGCTAATCTTGCATGTAAATCTGACAACTGTATCTAGATATTAATAGAACTACCCTTTCATCATGTACAACACATTACTTTGGGCTGAGCCTTCTGCAAGCTTCTCTTTGCTAATCAAGTAACACTTTTTTCTCTTTTTGAAATACTTTAAAGTCGGCCTCTTACGCAAAGTGAAGTCTTTCAATGCCACATTTGGTAACAGCGGACAATGAAGATCCAATCTGAAGTTAGCTACAAGTCATAACCTTCTCAAAGGAGGACTATTTTAATTTGATAAGTAACTTTTATACTCAATACAAATATTTCAGTATCTCTCAAGCAAGGCCAAAACATTACGGTGAATTTGGAAGAAAAGTTTTTGCTGGGTGTAAAATTGCTTAAAGTTTTATGTCTGCTTCTAACAGCTTTCTTTAACCTCAGGAGAAGTCTCAACCTACTGAAGAACTACATGACAGACAAAGCATATTTTATCAACCCTCCACACCCCCAGCCAGAACACACATAAGAGGTGACTATTTACTGACCAAGCTAGGCTGAGCTAAACTCCCACTTTAGGCAAACTGGTACTGGATGGACATCTTCAGTTGACTGTGATAAGTGAATTTTACAGGATTCAAAACAAGCACTTGCAATTAATTTCTACAGAGGAACCAGAAAGCAGTATGTGTGCTCCAACTAAAACCATTAAGGTGTTAAACATATTAGCACCCATACCAGCTAAGAAAATTATCACTGCTCAAACTTTCATGTTTCTCTTTATTACTACGGGACATAATTTCTTGGTACTGTCTCACTATATCCATCTCTGTACTAGAACTGAGAAACAAAGGCAAATCAAACTCAGGAATTTTAAGGCAACTTTTCAATTGAAGAAGTTCAAAGAACAGATTCTTCATTAAAAAAAGGCATAACTATTACACCAAATGCGAAAACTACACATTTGAGGAAATTAAACAACTTCAGTGCTCATCTACATGCATTTGCTGCACTATGTACTGTTGCCATTTGTTTCTATCTTTGCTTCCTCATCATTTGTTCAGCACATTCACTTAATATAAGCACCTGCTTTTCTTTACCTTCTGTGGACATAAACTCTCCTACAATTGAGTTTATAACTTCAGCAATACCATCAGGCTCCCCACCCTGGCCCAGATGCACAGCATCCAGCAGCAGTGAAGGCAGACAAGGAAATTAAGAGTTCCTCTTTTCCCTCCCCACTCCCTTTCAAAATGGTAGCAGCAGTTTCACATATGCCAGCATACCTGGGCCATTCTAATATTACATTTTGCAACTCCCTTCAACTGTCAGGTTTTCCCTTCTGCTTTAACCAGATAAACATAGTAACTTCAGCAATCGTTTCAACCAGGTCTCCCTTCTCAACTGTTCACAGCCAACAACTATGCAATTCAGACCCCAATTAGGCTTAACGAATTACAGTATTAACTTTGACAAATAATTACCAATACAGAAGTTACCGAGTAATTCTTTAATGAGACACTGGCACCCTCTGCATTAAAAACTACATACAAAGAAAGCCAAAATGACAAACGTGAATTAAGTAAATATTATAGCAATTACCAATATAAAAAAATTGTTAAAAAGTCAACAGAATCTATTACAGATAAACCATAAGGTGCAAGCCGGCAGCACGATTATGCACAGTATAGTTAGCATGCATTACAACAGAAAACACAGTAAGAGACCAACACTAAAACCAAGTTACCTTGTCTTTGAACACAAAGGCAATGTACATCTTGAAGTCAAACTGGTCAGCTAAAGATTCTTTTTTCTTTCTAAGCTGAGCACGAAGTCTGTTCAGAGCTTGTTTCTTCCGGGAGTTTGGGTCCCCCATTTTGTAATACAGGTGGTACTAAAGCCTTTGGAAACTGTCGCTAAACTATGGGCACCTTTTCATAAGACTCAAGTACAACAGAAACAAGTCGTTTTATTCCTGCTAATACGACTGAATAGATAAAACACAAATGTAACCCGAAACACTTCAGGCAAGATTTTATGAGAATGTCGTATCAGAGGGGTCACGAAACAAAGTAAGTAGTTGTCCAGCCATAGCTGGACAAGAGGTTTTACAATAAACCAAGAAGAAACCCTAAGAATTTTGAAGAAAAAAAAATTTAACAGTTTAGCCGCAGGAATAATTGGACAAGAATAAAAATAAATCCAAAATCTTATCACAATTTATGTGTACAATAAAAAGCAACTGGCACAAGCCCAATCCATGGGGGGGTATTTTTGCTCTGCTTACAAAAAAAAAAAAAGCTGAAATTAGAAATTGTGTTTTACCCCAGCCAGATTCATGACTCTACTGATTATTATTCTCAGCTTTCCACTACTGCTATGTTGCCTGTCTTTTTTTTTTTCTTTAGAATTATTACACTTGGTGGACAGCAGAGAAAAGGGTGCAAAGGAGGAGTGCACATCCTGGGAGATAGGTTTCTCTGCCAACAACAAAATCAACTACAGACAACACAGTACTTGCTTGCAAGGGAGCAAAGAGAAAAAACAGCGGAGTAATTTCTGATTTCATCCTGCTCATCATCAGGCACATCATTGCCCTGAGGCCACTGCTGCCAAAGAAAAAAGGGATCATGATGGCCATAGACAAACAGGAGTTCAAGGGACAGTATTATCTCACCTAGAGACTAAAACCCAAACCAGTGCCCCAAACCTGGGCTCCTTACCAGAGGGAGAGTTCTACATCCCCCAACGCCTCACACGCTCCCTGGGCTGCTGATCCCCTGGGGATCCTACTCTCTCTGCTGCTGCTGTGCTCCACAGAGAGCACGGTTAGCCGAGGCTGTGCATGGCCAATGCTTTTTGCTTCTCCTTAGGCCTCTCTCTACACAAGACAGCAGAGGCCGCAGCGGGCGGCCTGCGCCCAGGGCAGCGGGACACCCACAGTAGCACGGCGTCTCCCCTCTCACTTCATGGTCACGATTTCAAAAACATGGAGACTTTTGCTCCTGCTTTTCTCCCAAAACAGGCTTTCAGTGTCAAAATTTTTAAGAGGTTTTTTTAATTGCAAGACTGGGTTGCAATTTTAAACCTCTGAAACACCCTCCCCCCGGAAAACAAAGCCCCAATTATCAGGTTATTTTTTTCCTCTCTCCAGACATTTCCCCCCCCCAGGGTGTTTGATTAGTCGGGGTTAGAAGTTTTTAGATTAGCAAATCTGTCGAATCAGGTCAAGAAGAGGGAAAAAGTATTCCCCCCCTTTTCTGAACAAAAATTAAAAAAGGAAGGAAAACAAAACAACAAAAGAAAAGGAACCCCCCCCAAAACTCCGCCCCCCACTGAAGCAAGAAACTGAGAGACTGAGACAAGAGACCGAGACCGTGGCTCGCTCGCTACCCGCAGCCGGCGGGCGCAGGAGGAGCAGAGGAGGCGGCGGCGGTGCTAGCAGCACGGGGGGGAG